AACAGATTCGGCTGTCCAGAGACGATTGTAACTGACAATGGCACACAATTCACTTCGGAAACTTTTACGGACTTCTGCAAGCAATGCGTTGTATACCTCGGATGTTATCTCAGGAGGAGGTGTAGGGAGAAAGTAAGAAGCGCCTGGAAAATCCATAACTTTAGCGATTGATCGATTATTAACGATTATCGATCCATTTCGAACGTTCTGGGATGTCCTAAGTTCTTCACCTGACTCCCAACCACCTGACATCTCGGCAAAAGCTATGGGGAACCGCTAAACTTTGTAGTTGACCATTCAATTCCAGAAATCGAAGGTCAGTAAGAGACCACTAAATACAGCCAAGGTCCACGGTAGTAGTACAGTGTTTGTTGATGGCGATTAGTACGTTATTTTGTCAAAGTCATTGGTGTTCTGCTTTTTGCTTCGGTTGGGCTAGTCGTTTTGTGAAGCAGTAAAGTGCCGATTTAGGAATTGCGTCTAGTGCGAAGATTATAACATGAATGACGTGCTCTGTAACGCCCGCTGGAGTCTGAAGAGCATACATTTGACTATCACATCCATCAAACCGACATTCCAACTAGCACCTGATGCTGTTTCCCCTGAAACCTTAGAGCTCAGTGTCGGAAACATACCCCTCCTCCCACTGGACACTTTTGCACCATCATTAAAAGCTGGGTGCTTCCTGCAATTATTAGGTAATAATTAGCATTATTTCGAAAGACAAGGGCGATACACGATATCCGGCTATCCTCAACAAACCATATATCCGCCTCCTGTAATGTTTTCGAAAAAGTCGTCACGCATCTGGTTACTCAGTTTATGACAAGAGAAAATCGATCAGCGGTTCACAGCACGTGTTCACTGCAATATGTTCTAAAGCCTGAGGTTACAGTTGCTTGATCATGTCACAGTAACAACTGAGAGTAGCATGGCCATCGTCATCATTCTTCCGAATATGCAAATAGCGTTTGACTGCGTACCGCACAAAGCACCTTTGGCTGCGCTTGCGTCCCATGAGATCAGCAACCCCCTATTGATCTGGCTCGACTCATATCTAAACGACCGAAAGCTAAGAATGTAGGTAGATCAACACTGTTCTGCCCTCAGAACTTTCACTAGTAGTATGGTTCAAGGGAGCGCGTTGGATCCACTTGTTCTCCTCATTTACGTGAAATATCTACGTGAATACAATAGATATGAAGCACGCTATTAATTGCGGATGGCATCAAACTAGTGTACTCATTTTCACCTGACCATCTAGATGTATCACCGCTGAGCAAACAAAGTGAACGCAGGTCTGTGGGGCCTTCAGCAGACAAAACTCAGATACTCGGCTATATATCAAAGATCCTTCAGTCTTACTTGTACCCACATCCCAACCGCCTACCCCGTCTGAGGCTATGGAATTTAATACTCTAGTAGCTTTACGTTCCAGTTCAGTTGGGAGCGGAATGATAGGATAATCCCATGAATGTTCCTTCTTTTGCGTATCTTTGAGTCGGGAATTGATAGGTCTGTTTGAGGTGTTGAAAAGTCTAAAACGCAGACCACATCACACCATGTCCAACCAATTATTGCCCATATTTTCCTGCACAGCAATCCATGCTGGACCGGTTTATGTGAAGCAAAAGAGTGAAGGGTAAGCTAAGAAAACAAGAGCAGGAATGTCAGCTAAATAATAATACTACCAAGGTGTGAGAAGAAATTAAAAAAGAACGAAGGGAAAGTTGAAGATACATGTCGGTTAGGAGAAGGGGAATGTTTGGTACTGCCACGTAAGAGCATCTAACTGATGCTCGAAACCCTCTACCGTAAACTTCCTAACGATGTGCTCCGGAAGCGAGTTCCAACATTCAATAACCCGGCGTGACAAGCAAGTTTCCGTCCTTATCCGGTCGGAACACAGTTTGTACAGCTTCATCGGGTGACCTCGGCGACTAGACAGCTTGGCGTGACTAAGTAGCCAGGACAAGTCTGGACCGATCTTACCCGTTAAGACATGGTAAGTGAGGATCAAGTCTCCTCTAATTCTGCTGTGGTGCATTGAGTACATATCCAAGCTAAGCAAACGTTCGGGATTCTTTTGCCCCCGTAATCCCTGCACTAACCTTGTACCCACTCGTAAAACCCTCTCCAGTTCCAGTTTGTCCCCTACAAGACAAAGATATTGGCCGTTAGGACACCGAAGGCGCGGCGAATAAAACACATCATACAGAACCCTCTACAAGCAGCCTTCCTCCAACTGTCCCCAGAGTGAAGCAATGAGGTGTGTGTGATACCTAGATCAAGCTGCGGAGTGACAACAGGGATTTCACTTCCACCAACAACGTAGCGCGTGGGGGGATTAGCACCTCCAATGCGGAGGACGGAAGATTTCGCCTGATTTATAGGCATCAACCATAAGGTTGACCAATCCCAGAGCCTATCCAATGCACTCTGAAGTGCCTAAGAGCCACCAGGGATATTCACAATATTCCAGAGCTTGAGGTCATCAGCAAACTATAGCCAGGGTACTTCAAGCTTCTGCGGTAGGTCATTGAGATAAAATGCGAAAAGTAACGGCCTAAACAAATCCTGCATCATTTAACGAAAGCGAAACAGCTAACAGGCTTCATCATTAGGTCACTTTTGCTACAGCACACAGGGTTTTAATTATTGCAACTCACTGTGCAACCCTCACTAGTATGCTGCACCGCCATAATTAGTCAGCACAACACAGGTAGAATTGCTTCGGAAAACTTTCAGCCCTCATTTATCAAAATAATTATGGGGTGTTCATCAGCGTTTACCTAGGAAGATCCATAATCATAGCTACAGCTGGACCGATTCTGGTTTCGACAACTGGAAAGTAACTTACCCTTTTTTGTAGTATAATAGGTTTGCTAGTCTTCTCATTCATAGTGCAGTTGTTTTGCAAAATGGCTCAGCCTATCTCCGTTTTAATGGGAAATGTCTATCATTCTTACAGAAGACCACTCAAAATAGCCGCTTAAATAAGTTTCCTGGTACGGTACGTCCATCTGTGGAATAAGCTACTGTTGCAATCGAGGAGTAGCGAGATGCTGACTACATTTAGCTCTTATATATAAGTTTTTCTTTCCATGCCAAATTTGGTCAAGCTTTTCGGCGTTCAGTAATCTAGGAGAGCACAAATGGTATTTGTCTCGAAAAATATGTGATAAAACTAGCTTTAGAATAACTTGTAAATTATTACGTATACCACAAACAATCGCATTACTGACCCATATTGAACACAAGTTCTTAAAGGAAAGGCCGACGAAACTCACCGTAAACATGATCGTTCCACAACTGTGAAGGTACCTTACCTCTCAGAAAATAAACCCATTTATTATTAATGTTACCACACGCAGACCACGCCCTAGGTATTTGGATAATAATGGCTGAAGTTAATTTGACGATCAAGATTTCGTGAGGGAACATTTCATGGGTGAATCAGCACTCATCCCAGTCATATGCTTTAGTCTCTACCCAGCTTGAAATCTTCAGCTCGGTGGCACTGTAGACTAAGATTGACTTTACTACTTATTGTTTACGTAAAACAACTGGATTGCGCCTGTGGTTCCGATTAGCAGAAAAGCACGCTCCAGACTGTGTCGTTGTGATCGTCAATTCTTTACGTCACTGTGAACTTCGCTTGCCAAAAGATCTGTACAAGCAAGGTGATCCCACAGCTTGTCAGTCAAATTCTTTTTGGCGTTGTCACAAGGTTGGCCGATGTTCTAATGAATCAGCGGAAATGCAGACACGTCAAGGCACGTCCGTAAGATGTTGTCCTGTTGATGAAAAAGTCCCATGGTCCGTTTCTTTGGTGTACCTGTAAGGTGTTCTTTCTAGGCGTTCGTCTGGTCTGCCGACAGCGTGCGGCTGTGTCCATGCTTCAATTCCACGAAGGTCTATGGATCGTCTGCGGTCAAGGTGTTGGACGTCACGGCAGGCCTACTGCGAGGAAAAAGAATATTATTCTGCAGCTACTCCACACAGTGGCAAACCGCAACGAGTGAAAGATAGTTCGGACGCCGTTGGAGTCCTATCGAGTGGGATAACAACATGTGTTCGACTATTGGATCAGCGCGAAATTATGCTTCTGGTAACGGTATAACCCTGCCCGGGATACACAGTTCTTGAGAAGTGTAGGATGTACTGGCAGTGTTCTCAAGGAGATGGCACCACGAGGTAGTGCTTGTCGATTCAAGCCGATTAGGTAAAAACCCAGTGATGTGCGACAAAATGCAGCAGAGGATCTCTGAGAAAACGAATGATGCACAAATGCGCAGTCAGCACGGCATTCCTTAGCTGACAAGTTAGAAGGTAGTAAATATGAAAGAGATTCAAGCAGCTGCAAAGGTTTTAGTTGGTTAGCTTGCTTTAAGTAGTTGTTAAAGACGGAAACTGGGGAAAGCTCAGCTTAAGTAATTGCATAAACCTTCTACAGCGTTTATCCTTTACGCATATTGCTTGAGTCAGGTCAGTTTCCAAGCGCGATAAAAATGAACAGGTGCATAAGCAAATAAAGAAATTAACGATTTGCCTCTCCTGGTTTGATAGGTCCTTAGTACTCGAAAATAAGCTTTGTGTTGTAAAGGAAAACAAGGGTTTTCGTCTACTTTAATTTGGGGTATTGCTTCCGTTCAGGGGATCGTCCCAAGTGTGTAAGGTTCCTCAGCATAATTGTGGGTTTAGTTTTAGTTCCATGAGATACAACCGATAAACTTATGCTGAGGAGCGGAAATCGATAGCTGTAAATATATAGCAAGGTATTGGTGTTCAAGATGTGATAGGCCAAAGGTTGATGTCATAAAAACACCAGACTCAACAACACCCACTAGTCAATCAACTGGAGAACCAACGGTTCTGAAGACTGTTAGAAAAGGCGTTAAACACTGAAAATGTGTTAATTCTGACTGGTTTTTAGCATCAGGACACAAGTACAAAAAACACAAGGATCGCTTATAAATTATAATTTTCCGGCAGAACAACCGGTGAATGCATTGGTGACGAGCTATTCATATAACCCATTATATTTACTACAATTCCCATGGTTTCTGGTTTATTTGTGCCTTCTGAGTTCTCACTTATTTGTCGAGGAACTGTCTTCAACCCATAAAACCCGTATGCAGAGGGGATTTGAGACCGCAGAATTTTACACTAGAAAATGTGTTGCTGAATGCTATCACTACCTGTCTCCGTTGTTTCATTGTCATCGTCCACCTTCAAGCTGAGCCTTTCTGGCCGATCTATGTTGAATGCTGGAATTTGGCCTCTTCGATGACGGTGTAACATCAGACGCTCCGCATAGCTGATTGCTGGGGTGAAATGGACATTTGGCACCACGGGGTGCTGATCAGCCGAATTGGTGTTCGCTTCAGTCTGAACGAATTGTCCATTCGCCTTACTCCAATCCGTTTGAGCAGCACAGTTCATGCGGTCTTCGGTGCAACATGATCCAGTTTGAGATCCAGTGGTTTGGACAGGTACGGAAGAAGCCTGTCAGAGCAAGTGAGAAAGACATAATTGCAAAATTATCATATTAGGTAAAAAGGAAGAAGAAACGTAATAGCTGTATTAGAATGAACAGACGTTGCCAAAGTAGTAGAAAATTGCATCGTTGTTCTCCTAACGACCCGAAAAGTCCTAAATGTGCGTATTTAATAATAGTGCTTTAACACCGCGTCTATATTTGTTCCCTTCTGTTCGACAATTATCAACTCGGTGATTTACGTTTTCGGTGCCCGCCCTCCCCCCTTACGTGATCTATACATCTACTGCTAGGCTCGAAGAGTGGTTCCATGCACTCAGTGTGGAGCGGACTACGGTCCAGCCACCGCCTTGTGTGCGGTTGATTCCCCAAATACAGTGTGCGTGTGTTTGCCTGTGAAGGAGTGTGGGTCGGCTCCGTTGATGAAACGTGGCCCCCATCCGCATGCCTCCCGGTCTTATTCCTTCGGGTTTACACTGGATATGGGGTGTGTGGTTGGAGCTGTGGGTGGTGCAGCGCAAGCCATCCATGTTCCCTCTGTAGGCGCAGGCGTCCTGTGGCTTGCCACAGTGACAAGCAAATCCGAAACCGGATGCCGCCAACCATGTATGTATGTGTGCCCCATGCTGCGGCTGATGTTGCATTCTTGATGCTTCTTCACAGCATTTGGGCTAAACCAACTTACACTTAAACTAGGTCTCTTTAAGCTGCATAAATTTCATTCCACTTTATTTGGTTTGTTTTGCATATCTGGATAGTCTTCTATTAGCTGGACACGTTGTTCAAGCTAATTGCCTTTATCTCCGGTAATTTTGTTGCGTTTGTAGCATTTTTGAGTAACTTGTGGACATTTTTTTCCTTATCGCGGATTCGTCGCTAACTAACTCACTTCATATGGTAATTTAGGGAAGAGTTATGCCACCGTATCTGTATGCATTATTGGATTTATTTTATTTCGGCTTGTCGTTTAAAGTGAATGTCTGTTGCTTGATATCCCCGGTGTGGCTGCGCTTGATGTGCATGTTGACAAGGTGCCTACCTGTCTATTACCCACTACCTCGTCCATACTGGCTCCAGGAGACAGTTGGTCGTTGCTGGAGGGGACGGGGTGCACGGTTCTTGTGGCCGTGCTAGGCTCAAAGAGCGGTTCCATGCACTCAGTGTGGAGCGGACTACGGTCCAGCCACCGCCTTGTGTGCGCTTGATTCCCCAAATACAGTGTGCTTGTGTTTGCCTGTGAAGGAGTGTGGGCCGGCTCCGTTGATGAAACGTGGCCCCCATCCGCATGCCTCCCGGTCTTATTCCTTCGGGTTTACACTGGATATGGGGTATTTGGTTGGAGCTGTGGGTGGTGCAGCGCAAGCCATCCATGTTCCCTCTGTAGGCGTAGGCGTCCTGTGGCTGGCCACAGTGACAGGCAAATTCGAAACCGGTTGCCGCTAATCATATATTTATATATGCTTTTCCCGTTCGATAACCGATCAACTAACCACGGCAGCACCGGAATTTCCATATCTACTACAGCTCGCTGCTCAGTAAACATGATGAAAATCAAAAAGACGAGGATGCGCTATCTGGTATGATTGAACATGGAGCGGAGCTACAACCAAACGTAAATTAAGCGCCTTTTTAAAACTTCCGAGTAGCAGTTAGGTCTTTGAGTAGGGCCACGCTTCAGCCACAACTGCAAAATAGGCAAACTTAATGTAATAATGGGTTACATTACCTCTCATAATGAGATTGAACGGCGGCATCTCGAAGCCCAAATTTTGTATAAACCCGAAGCGGACGTTGATGAGTACTCTTACTAACGCTAGTTCCGTGTATCTAGACCAAGACGAGCTAATTAAACAACTGGAGTTGTAAACTACATTAATTACATTGAACTATTATTGCTTGCATGATTAGTTGTGCGCTGAATAATTGCAGTGGAAAAGAACAACATTTTATGGGTTAAGCTGAATGCGGATTATTTCGTGTTTTCTCATTCTGCCGCTTCCAGACAAATCGTGGAAAGAGTAAAGGAATGCAATTGAAAAAGGGTTAACAAGGAAATCAATAAAACACCTGGAATATCAAGGTCATCGTCTACATCTAACCAGGGCAAGGCAAGACTGATCACAAAGTTGACCTGTTCGCAAAGTTAGTTTTCATTCGTCGGATGGCAGAGGCTTCAGCGAAACGAAGCAAGCTCGCGTTGTTTTGTCTGCTGATAACCTTGAATGCGTCACGTGGGTTTTCGCACGAGGTACAATCGAGCAGATGCTGAGCAATTGAGTTACCAGGGAGTTTAGAGCCACTATTTGCCAGGTTCCGTGGAACATGTTGCATGATCCTAGTTGATAGCCTTCTCTCGGTTCGGCCAATGTACATGCTACCGCAAGTACAGGTGAATTGGTAAACACATGAGGCGGTAACCTGAGAGTGAGGCATATCGAAGTTGGATTCATGGAACAGCTTTTTGGTTTGATCTAACAACACGAGCTCAGCTGCGTAGTAGCACCATTTTATGGCTTGGCGTAATCGGTAGCACAATCTTCTGTCGTTCTGTTCCCCTTTGTATGGTAGCGTGATGAAGATATTTTCTTGGGGACATCCATTCCTTTTTCTTTTCTAGCAACCCCATTCTTATACCTGGCAATGAATTTATTCGGATAGCCGTTATTGCGTAGGTTAGACTCGATTTATCGTAACTCAGGCTCCATGGAGTCTTCAGAGCATATTTGGTGTGCTCTAACAAAACAAGTTCGAACTAGGGATCGTTTATAGTTCATTGGAAAGTAACTGTTGCAATGTAGGGATTGTCCGGTCCAGCTCGATTTCCAAGAAACCGATCTTATGAGTGAACCATCTGCTCTTCTTTTAAGTGCTACGTCAAGCAAATGAAACGAATCCTCTGCTTCACTTTCCATAGTGAAGTTGATATTAGGATGGCATTTGTTTACCGTTCCCAACAGGAATTTCCCTTGCTGTACGTGTCAACTACAACAAAAGTATTGTCGATATATCTCGTGTAAAAGTGTGTTACTCCAATGACATCGCGTAATAAGTTACTTTCCAGCTGAGCTCGTGTTGTTACATCAAACTAAGAAGCTGTTCCATGAATCCAACTTGGATAGGCTTCACTCTCAGGTTACCGCCTCATGTGTTTACCAATTCACCTGTACTTGCGATAGCATGTACATTGGCCGAACCGAGAGAGAAGGCTATCAACTAGGATCATGCAACATGTTCCACGGAACCTCGCAAATAATGGCTCTAAACTCCCTGCTAACTCAATTGCTCAGCATCTGCTCGATTGTACCTCGTGCGAAAACCCACGTGACGCATTCAAGGTTATCAGCAGACAAAACAACGCGAGCTTGCTTCGTTTTGCTAAAGCCTCTGCCATCCGACGAATGAAAACTAACTTTGCAAACAGGTCGACTTTGTGGCTAGTCTTACCGTGCCCTGGTTAGATGTAGGCGATGCCTTTGATTTTCCCGATGTTTTTTGATTTCCATGTTACCACTTTTCCAATTGCATTCCTTTACTCTTTCCACGATTTGTCTGGAAGCGGCTGAATGAGCAAACACGAAGTTATCCGCATTCAGCTTAACCCGTAAAATATTGTTTGTTCTTGCTCTCTTAAAATTTCTAAATAGAAATGGCTACATGAAATTGCAGCAGAATGAGTTTAGCCGACGGATGATGAGCAGCAGTAAGTGGCTCATTTGTTTATATTGCACGGTGTCAGCCTACATAATTCTCAAAAGCAGCAACAAAATAACGGTTTGCTCTGTCTTCGTTTATTGCAGCTAATGTAACAGCTTCTGAAGAAGCATATGGTATAACAACCGCAACATGAGCTGAAAGCAATGCAAAAACCAACTGTGTACACTTGCCTCTTTTGTAGAAATAGTACAAATAACTAATTTTAAGTTAGCTGACCACTGGTGAAAGGTTGCTGAAGCGATGGCATCATGTCCCTCTTTAACTGACCCAAGTTAGAGTTGAATTTATCTAGTGTCCAGGGATATCAGCCCTCATAGCGAGGGAACAGACAACCTCCAAGGTGAAATCAGATCAGGGTTCGGTGGGTTGAAGATCAAATCGATAGTGAGATCCTGTGATTCCAGCTGCAGCGGTTCAGACAATAACGTTGTTGCCAATAATTCGGTATACATTAAAGAGTGTCAAAGCAATTGGCATAGCACCATGGAAATCTTGGAATGCCTCGTGCCCGTCACTAGAAAGCGCTCCGGATAGAGGAGGACTACTTAACATGCTACAGCTTGGCATGGTTGGAGGCATCAGGTTTCGGATTTGCCTGACATTATGGCCAGCCATAGGACGCCTGCGCCTACAGAGGGACCATGGATGGCTTGCGCTGCACCACCCACAGCTCCATCCACACACCCCATATCCAGTGTAAACCCGAAGGAATAAGACCGGGAGGCATGCGGATGGGAACCACGTTTCATCAACGGAGCCGGCCCACACTCTTTCACAGACAAACACAAGCACGCTGTATTTTGGAAACAAGCGCACACTAAGCGGTGGCTGCACCGTAGTCTGCTCCACACTGAGTGCATGGATCCACTCTTCGAGCCTATCACAACCACTTCGTCCTCTCCAGCAACGACCAACTGTCTTCTGGAGCCAGTATGGACGAGGTAGTGTGTACCAGACAGGTAGGCACCTCGTCAACATGCACATCAAGCGCAGCCACACCGGGGATATCAAGCAACAGCCAATCAAATAAAATATATCTGCTAAAGTATACGGCTATGCCGACATAACTCTTCGCTAAATTAGCGTATGAAGTAACTTGGTTAGCAACGAATCCGCGATAAGTACAAAATGTCCACAAGTTATTCAAAAAATGTCACAAGCACGATAAAGTTAACGAATATAAGCGCAACTATCGCAAGCAACTTGTGAAACTTAGTAGAAGATTATTTAGGTAGGCAGAAGAAACTAAGTAAAGTGGAATGAAATGTATCCAGCTTAAAATGGCCAATTTTAA